TTACGTGTTTTTGCAATCATACTTAAAAAAGTAACTTTTGACCTACATGTCGTATTCACGGCTTCGAAATTTTCAAACTACTTATCATACCTATAAGCTACCCCCCCTCCAAAGAAAACCAAAAAAACACCTTACCAAACAAGCTATATGCTGTTTAGAGAGACGCATGCTTTTTGTTTTCACTCCCTCTTCCTTTATTTGGTAATGTTGCTAGTGCTCATTTGGACTAGCCGTAGAAAATATAGCTTATTTTCAATTTAGTTTTTAAAAAAATTAGATTGGGTAAAAGTTATATTGAGTCATGTGGTTTATATTTGGATTAGCTTTTATAAATAAATCAGTTTATAAAAGTAAAGTTGTTTGGATTATTATTAAAAAAATAAATTTAGTTGTAAAAGAACAAAAAAAGACAAGAATTTTATTAATTAATATTATTTTAGGGAAAATCCCAGTTACATCCAGTTAAAATATTAAAATTCAAAATCAGGCATTCACTTTATATAAATTTCTAATCAGGCCAAGAGGCCTCATTAGGAATTCATGAATATTTTAAAAGTTCAAAATGCCCCTCAACAATTAAAATGACTTGTTACTTCTATATTTTTCTCCCCACAAATCCTTTTCCTAATCAATTATTTGTAAAAGGTTCCGGCTCGAATAAGTGGTCAAATAGTCCATATTTCTCTCTTTGATCCTCAACACAATGGCTTTTTAAATATTTTCCTGTTTATTCATCACCATGGCATGCCTTTTCCTTTGATTATTTCAGAACAAAACAATTATACATTATGATCCTCTGTCACCACTATTTTATCAGTTTTCCAAATATACATGTGCATATATTATTAAATATATGGAGGATGGATCAATATTAAAACTGAACAAAAAGTAAACCCTTCGAAAATTAAAATCTAGCAGTGAACTACACTATTTGATTGATTAGAGTGTTGGAGTAGTTATTAATATGGATCAATGATTGTATTGTAATTTCCTGTCATGTACTAAAGATCTACTACTTTTATATTTCCGGAAGAGAATTTGTGAGGCAGAAAAATATAAGAGTAACAACTCATTCTAAACTTTCAATAACATTCACAAATCTCTAATTAGGCCTTTGGTCTTGATTAGGAATTTATTCAAAATATAAGTCTCAATTTGCATTTTGGTATTTCAGCTGGATTTGTATGGGATTCTCCTTATATTTTATTCTCTCTCTTTTGTTATACTCTCTAATTAGATTTTTTCATATGTTTTCTTTTATCCTTTATCTTATTTATTATAAAGGTATATTTCAAATCAAAAGTATATTTATAACTTATTTATTATTTTCAGTTAATTTTAACTATTTTTATTATTTATATATTAGTTATTTGAAATTTATAATAAAAATTAGAAGGAGTAGTAAATTTCTTAAAAGTGAAACCCTATTTTTTTAACTTCTTCTCTCTTCACTTTTCAAAAGCCAAAAGCCATAGCCCATAAGCACCAAATTTTTGCTTCTAACTTATTGTGACTCTTTATATAAAAGTGAAATTGCCCAACCGTGAATTCAAACACTACAAGTTTTAATCTCTTCCCTATCCTCATGTTTATATTACTTTGTAGGGCATGCTTTCATTTATTAGTATCATTTTGTCTTGTTATAAGGAAACTTATTTACACGCCTAGCTAGCCAAATTGGTACGGATCGGTGAAAGGATCACATTGTCTCCGTCAACTGTGGACATATTCAATTGTAAATTACGAAATTTAATTGTAAAGTCGTGATAATTAGTTGTAAATTTCAGGCAATTAATTTCCAAAAATCATTTGCATATGTGAATCTATAATTACACATGAGCATTTTAATAATTAAAAAAATAAAATAACAAGTGTTCATATTTTATAAGTAAATTTATAAGAGCTCACACATACACATACATTTTAATCACTAGCGACAACAATATAACAGGTATCTTATAAAAATTTACAAATTCTAATTTACATTATAATAATTAATACAAAAATTTACAAGTGTTCATAGGTCAATTTAAAAGTGTACACATGTATTTTAACAACTCACAATAGCAAAATAACATGTGTAATTAAAAAAACTTGACCTAATAAATATAAGTAACTTAACAGAAATTTTGTCCTTTTACGTGATGCCTTCAATTTTACACCTGTAAATTCTCATTAGTTACAACTATCTAGTTTGTTTGGGAAATCCCCAAATACACTTAAACAGGAATAGGTGTTTCTTGAGACAAAACTCCTTTCATATAAAAATAACTTCAAATAAGTTAATCCCAACAAATTTTGGCCCATACTGCCATTTAAAAAAGTACCTCTTGATCTTTAAGAACTCCTTCTCTCATATTTACAACGAACAACTAATCGCAAAAAATTTACAAGTAAAATTGTCGTAATTTACAACCTTAAAGCTGAAGGAGACAATGTGGCACTTTCACATCCACAGAAAATTATAATTAACCAGGTCCTAAGATATTTGCGGCTGTATTTTTTATAGAGATTTAATTATAAATAAATTTCTCATTTTTTTTTACCAAGAATAAATTTCTCATTTGAGACTTATACATAATTTATTTTTGACTTTTTTCTCCGGATGGTAGTAGTAAGGGATCATCGACTGAGGAAAAATGATGCCAGGACAAGTAGATTTGTGACGGGAAAGGCTTTTCATCCTTTAAGTATGATAGAAGCCCAATCAGTTTCTAGATTAAAGTATCCGATACATGTTTAATTATTTACGGGATAGTGAGAAAATTTCTTTATATAAATATATAATTGTACTCTTCATTTATTATATATTATGTTGACTTTATTTTCATGATATATGTATAATATATATTAAATATAACATTGGAAAGTTGTTAAATTTTAAAAGAGATAGATGCATGTGACAAACAAACATGACTAATAGATTAAATGTGTAAAATAGCATTTCCGAATATCAAATATAATAGACTTAAATAGATTTTTGTCTACATAGCTTCTTTCGCTTGCAAGGAAGAAATGATTGCTGAATGCTTTTCCTTCCACCGAGCACCGCATCAAAAGGAAGAAACTTCAAACAATATGCAAATTTGGAGCAACCAGCCAAATTTAACATTTTTAAAGAGAATAGAGAAAATAAATCATTAGGAATACTAACTAGATTACTACAATTCCTCAAATTTAAAAATTCGAGTGTTGAAAGGGAAGCCATTGATGAATCAAGCTGTGATAATTTACTGCATCCTTCAAGCTCTAGCCTCTGAAGAATTGGTAAGGAATCGGCATTTGGAAGCTTTATTAAATCTTTAGACCCACTAAGATTCATGTTTCTCAAGCAAGAGAATTTCTGTGGATAAAAAAAAAACCAAACAATTAGCCAAAAAAAAATCTGCAAGGGCATATATGGGCACAATTAACATTATCTTCCATCTGTTAACCAAAAAAAAAAACTTACCTTCCATCTTTTAACTACCTTTTTTTCATCATCATCCCATATACTCGTGACGCGGCTATTAGGCAAAATCAATTCGGCAAGATCAAGGGGGTGAAAACTTGATGGTAAAGAAGTGAATGGATATTGGTGCCATGAAATATATTGGAGCTGCCAGGGAAGATGCTCTAAGAAACCAGAAAATGTTACATTGCGAAATATGAGTAATCTAAGCTTTCTCATGCGTGATAGACCTTCAGCTCTCAATGTACGCCCTTGTGAATCTTCTAGTTCCAAGACTATTGCTTCAACTTTAAGAGTAGCCTGATAATAAAAACATTTATATAAAAATGATGCAAAGTCAAATTACTTCAATTTTAGTACATTATATGTCAATGTTTCAACCAAAAGAACATTATAAGAAATTACCGTGTCATTTTGCATAACAATAAAAATATCATCAAAATCCCATAATCTGCTCCACTCTTCTGGATTACAAGGAAATTCATGCCGGACAATTTCTCTTCCCATTTCTTGCACTAAACTATGCATTTGAATTTTTTTATCTATAATGGCCATGAGTGACTTCTCAATCACAACTTGTATATTGTACTTCACTGGGCAGAATATATCATCAAGAGAATATATATAAATACTATCCAAAATTCCTTCTACAAATTTAATATCCTTCCCATTAAAAAAACACGCCATGTCTAAAAATGTTTCCTTGCACTTGTGGTCCATTTCATCAAAACTGTTTTTGAGGACCTTCATTATCATAGAACTAGCGACCTTTTTAAATTCAACCAAGGCACTGCTCCATTCAAAACCTCTTCTATTATATAAGAAATGGCCCAGTATTACAATTGCTAATGGAAGACCACTTGCATATTGGAGTGCACTATCTATTTGCTCCTCATAACCTCTCACTGGAAAATCACATTTGAAAGCTTTTTTACAAAATAATTGAAGAGCTTCATCCTTGTTCAATAGTTTAACCCTATAAATATAATGCTTCCCAAACCATTTAAGATCTCCTTCATCTCTAGTTACTATGATGATTCTACTGCCTCCACCTAACATGTTAGAATTTACAAGGGAGATCATCTGATTTACATATGAGGGAAGACGAATGCCATCAATAACCACGAGAATATTTTCTAGGATATTCTTTTTGAGATATTCTTGAGTTGCAACCTTGTGAAATTCAGATGCATTGATTATGAAATGGGAAGCATAAAAATGATGGGAGATCCTATCATGTAGAACTCTAGCAAGAGTTGTCTTTCCTACCCCACCCATACCGCAAATGCCCAACATGCGAACTTCATCGTTCATACCCAGCTCTAGAAGCTTTTCTACTTCTCTCACCCGAGATGGCATTCCTACTAAGTCCGCATCAACATACTCCAATTGACGTACTTTTTTCTTGACCTCTATAACGATGTCATCAATAACTTGTGGGTATGGGCTGAAGTAAAACCAGAAACAAAAGCACCCAATTAGTAACTTATTCAATACCCCGTTACACTATAATTGATAGAGAAAAGAAAGCAAAAGTAAATTTGCTTACTCATATGGTACATCCCAACCCGCAGAGAGATTGGCCACTTGATTTATTGCTGATCTCCAAATGTGTGCCTTGCGTAAATTTGTTGGGAACCTTTGTTCATGTTGAGCAAAAGCTTTTTCAAAAGAGTTACTTTGGTTTTGAATCTCAGATGGGTCGACATCACAGAAAATTGGAAAAACAGTATATCGCGGTTCATGAATGCGTGCAGCGATCTCTGAGAGCTCCTCAAGGCACCATACAGAAGAAGCATAGTTTTTGGAGAAGACAACGATGGAAATATTGGATTGTCGAATTGGTTTAAGAAAATGACGAGGAAGACAGATGGAATCACCTGGTTCAAGCTTCTTATCATCCCAAAAGGTATTCAAATCATCAGTCTCAAGAGCAGCCCACAGCATATCTGTAAATCTACAAGTTTCGTCATCTCCTTTGAAACTTAGATAAACATGAATCGGTCTTGATGATGATGACGATGGTCCAATAACGAAACTCTCCTCTATCACTTTCATGATCGGTCGCGTTTCTCAGTGGGAATTAAGCTGGATATAGGGGAGTCACAATTGCCCACTTAGCTTTCGAAGATCAGCGAATGGAAAAGAGCGATGAAATTGGAGCCGAAAGTGAAATGAAGAAGAGAAGGTAGTTAAGGTGGAAACTTCTGGGAGCTTGCACTGAAAGAGATACGAAGAAGGATTTCCAAATTATTGTTTCTTTGCGTTCACACGTTTGATGAGAATTAAAAATAAACAATTTTGTTAACTGCTTGTACTTTTTCTTCTTTTCATTGTGAGGTAGGCAAAAAGTTGACAGAGACGAGACACAACGAGCACGCTCCTTCTTTTCATTGGAGTACTTGTTCAGTTTTTCTTCGACTGTCTATAGCCACTCGGTTTGCAGATAATTCTTGAAAAAATTATGCTAAAAAACAGCATTTATTGAAATCATGCAAAATAAAGCTTCCTAGTCCTTTCCAGGAAAAATAACAAATTTAAATTATACAATTTTTATTACGCCTTTTATTAACTGACAAATATGATCAAGTGTGAAGAAATTCTAATTAAGTATACAATAATGGTCTTCATTTCTTAATTGAGAAATAGGATTGAATGGAATCAAAGTTCCTTACTAGGTGACTCTCCACTTGCTCAGTCACCTTTAAATGAATAAATAAAAGCCTCTTTCTAAGTAAGTTCGTCCTCTCATGCTTGTTTTTTAAAAAAGCTTCTCTTCAGCTGCCTCGCCCATAATTTAGTCCTGTAAATGTTCATATTAACTTCTTGTCATTTTAAAATTTGTGAATATTTTATTATCTCTTATTACCAACTTGTTCCATGTAGAAACACCAAAGGAATAAAGACGATAATTACTCACATGATCCCACATGTCACGGTATAATTATTATGTCATTTAGCGGAAATGACGTTTGAGGACATATATATAGGATCACAAGTTTTCAAAAATTTCCAAAAAAAAAAAAAGACCAAGGTCTTCATTGGGATTAAAATTTTTCTAGGCTAATTTTTTTTAATAATAAGGTATTATTATTTATCAATAACATATCAAATATTATAAATTTGAACTATTCCGTTTAGATTTTTTCTTAAATTAATTATGCTTTTCAAAGTTCACCAAGAATTAAAGGATTTCCAAATGAATATTAACACTAATAAAATGAAATTTGAGGTTTCAAGACTTTAATGATTCTATATATTACAATGACAGACCAAGGAAGAAAAATAATTATTAAAGGTCTCAATTACAATCTAATTAAGCAGCTTGTAATGACAAAATTTTTTTAGAGTAAAAAATAACAACTTTTGAAACTTTTTTTTAATTATTTTCTTTTTTTAGAAACTCATTATAATTCTGCCAAAAACTCATCACCATCTGAAGACTTTTCACTAACTCAAGCACTGGGGACCAGATTTTGGATATCTTACGAGGGTCGGGGAAATTTCTTGGAGATTGTCTTGAAATTAAACGTGCATCCAACATTTTAATTTTATTTTTTAAGTGCAACTATCGCTTTGATGCTATTTTTCTGATGCATTTAGTACTCTGATATTTTTTTTTTTAGTTACATACAACACCCTAATCTTTAGGATGCTAGATGCACTATAAATAAAATTGAGCTGCTAAATGTATAAAAAAAAAAAAAAAAAAGATTAGAGTGCAGGGTGTACTTGTCAAATAAGATCAATGTGTTAAATGCAACTTTACCTTTGTATATATTTCTATAATTTCTTCAGGTGTGTATTGTATATTGTATAATATCAGGCTTAGGAGGTGTTAAGATTAGCATTTTGGAAACACTTTAACAGTATAAAAGGTAAGTATGTGAAAAAAATCTTATCTTGACTTGCATAAAAATTCTTGTCTAAAAAAACGCCCCCTTAACACTTTTGTTTGTTAATTTGGAATTCTGCTGCTGCTTCTTTTGAAAAGCAACAGATAAAAAGTGTGATAAAGATGAGACCCAGCGTGCGTAGGCACCTTTCTTCACTGTATGTTGGAGTTTTCCTATCTTTTCTTTTTAGCTTGGATTTCGCAATCTAATTTTAAGGTTTTTAATAAAACTATCTGCAATCCAGCTTTAAGGTTCTTTAGATGCTTTTCAGGATTTTGCAATATGCCTTCAATATTTATTGAATTTTTCTGAGCTTTCGAAACATAGCCTCAGGGTCACACTTTTCCATGGAAGTTTGTTCACATATTCATACATATGCAAGGTGTTTTTCTTTAAAAAAAAACACTTTAATAAAAATGCTTCACTTTTTTCATGAAAAAATGGCTACCATATGATCATTCGTATACAGGGAAATAGTATAATAATGATTTTAAATATCGGCAATAAATAAATTAGAATAATTTATTTCTTGATAAAATTTGGTCATACGGATCCGCTTAAATAATTTTTGAATTTTACTGTTGAATGAAGAAAAATTTTTAATTATAAAAAATAATATTAACCGAAGTGTGGCTGGCCGTGAAAGATGAGAGAGAGCCACTTTTTTTTTTGGGAGGGGGAAGAAAGTCCTGTGCAGATTTTTGAATGCCACGTCACGTATATATTAACCTGCATATTTATAATAAAAGAAAATAAAATTAAAGAGACTTGATTCAAAATATTATCAAAGCATAAGGATTGTCAAATTAATTTTTGCAAACATAAATTAAAAAATATATCCAATTGGGCTTCCTTTAAGAACAAGAAACCACCAAAAGATTTGGAAGCCCAAGTTTCAAGAGAGAGGGCAAACAAAACCCAAACCAAACAAGCGAAATAGCGGATGCAACACATAGCCCCCAAACAGAGCAGTAAACCCAAACATGAAACATGGTGCGAACCCATTATCTGTACCAAGAGGAAACATCTCTTATTTAAAAAAAAAAGAAAAAGGATTAAGATGTACTCAGTATCCGGAATTATTTTTTAAAATATATTTAACATCTTAAAGTATTTAGTGATACAATTTTACTCCTAATGTATTAAAAATAGAGCAATTTACACCATGAACTAGATGAGCACAAGGTCTATTTCATACCCCATTTCTGTTTTGGAAAAATGACAAAAAGTACTTATTGTACTTTGACAAAATCAATAGGTCATACTTACTACTATTTTGACTAATTCTATAATAGTTTTGGCATATCAAAATCATCTGTTTATCATTTTAAAATTCAACAGTTATTTTTGTTATTTTTCTCTCTTTGTTCCCCTTGTCATCATCTTCCTCCCTAGTCGTGATTGATCGGTGCCGGCGGCACTATTCTCAGTGCCCAGCCTCAAGCTCGTCATGGACGGCGACTGCCCTCAGCTCCATGCAAGCACTGTCTCTCAACTCGGCAAGGCCAAAGCCGGATGGGATTTTTCATGAAGAAAATACTGACTCGTTTTGCCTCTTGCCACCACTCTTCAATCTCCATCCTTCTATCTGTGAAGAATGGAGCTTGTCCCATTTTTAATCTCCACATCGTCTTCCCTAAAATATTGAAGTCTCCTCCTTCCGTTTATGGATTAAATTGAGTATTGAAAAAAGCTATCCCACTCAAAGCAAATATAAGTCGGAAGAAGACGAAGGAAACTCATGATTGCATTGGCATAAGGAAAAGCTACAAAGTGATCCGTACACGAAAAATTCTTGGATGGACCAGAAATGCCACGTAAAATATGGTCTGCCCAATATAAAAATGACAAGTTATAACTCATAAGTCTGGCTACAGCTGTCTAACCTTCTTCCCTTTTCCCATGCATCCTGCTCTCTTCCTCTCTTTGAATAGAAATAAAACTATAATTTTAAAAATAATTTTACGACATATAAAATAAATATATAAAAAAATTTTATTTTGACTTATATAGAAGTATTTTTTTTCAAATGGTTTTCAGATATACCAAATGCCCTTAGATCTCTGTCCTTTCAGCTTTTTTCACAGTTGGCATATCCCTCTTTCCCATTTTCTCCACCCTTATGTTCATCTTCAATTTTTCCCCTCCACCGAAAAATTTAAAGCCAAAAATAGAAACGACCTGGTCGTATGAGAGGCAAAATGATGATCAACATAAATTATTTAGGAACTTTTTTTATTTTTTAACTGTTGACGTTGGGTGGGATAGGCTAAATTCTTTTTTTCTAAATACTTGCCCATAAATATATTATATATATATTTCTCATAATGATAAAATTCCCATGGCAAAAAGAAACATAATAATAAAATTACCATTAAATAACATATTATGCATAATAATGTTGAAATTATATGAGAGAAGAATCATGTATCTTATATATTATTGGCTCAAAAGAAAATTTATGAATAATAAAATTTTATTAAACATGTAATTTTTTTAAATTTGTAGCATTCATTTGGCACTATCAAAAAAAATTTCTACTTTTCATATACCTTTGTATTATATATAGACTTATTTTTGATAAAATTTGATAGATTTCTTATAATTTATTTTTATATATTATCTATGTGAAATAATATAAAAAAACTATTATAATAATATGCTTTTATTATTCATAAAAGAAAATCTTATTTTGGGTATAGTCGTATAGAGGGAATAAATTGGGCTAAGATAAATGTAAATTGAATAATTTTGGAGGGAGAAAATGGGAAAGAAGGGTGTGTGAACAACGAAGAGAGCTGGAAGGAGAGCGAGTTTTTTTTTGGGGGGGGGGGGGGGGAGAGAACGAGATGCATGGAAAAAGGGAAGAGGGCAATGGTGGAACCCATGACCTATGGCTTGTAATTTTTGTACCGGTCAGACCATATTTGACGTGGCAGTCCTGATGCACTCAAAAATTTCTCCCCGTCGATAAATCAATCCACAGGTGAGTGAAATAATAATAATAATAATAATAATAATAATAATAACAACCTGATAGTTAATGCTAAATGTTTCTTCAATCTCCCCAGCCATAATTAGCCCTTCATAAATCACCGGCCATAAGCAGAATCAAGCCCACTCGTGATCTTGGTCCTAAAATGAAGTCACCAAGGCAAGCTCGTCACTGAAATTATCCGAACCATGAAGAAGAAAGGGGCACATGTTTTACAAACTCGTATTTTAAA